AATTTATAATAAAAAATCATATTTATTATATCTTCTCCACATGTTAGAAATTTTTTTTATAAAATTAATAGTTTTAATAATAGAAATATAAAAAATTAAACTTAACTAATTATTTTTAAACATATTCTTATTAGTCATTTAATCATCAAATAACATTACTAATAATCATATAAATAAGTAATTATATTAATCAAAATTTACTCTTTATTATCTACTACCATTCTTTTACCATTTACTAATTACCACGCATTATTCGCAATTCGTTATTTATTAGATTTTAATCACAATACTAAACATGCCCAAAGTGCTTCTTTTATGTAGATCTTGTTTAACTTTTATAAAATATATAATTTACTTCCATTAAGAAAAAATAATAATAAAAGAAAAAGTAGAAGAAGAAGTAACCAGTAAGAGGTTGCCAACAAAGTTGGTGTTCAATACCATATAATGCAAACCTTGATTTTGAATACTAATTAATAACTTTTAATGTAGGAAAAAAAAAAAAAAAAAAGGAAAGAAGAAGAAAATCTTAATTACTTTCGTCTGCTTGATTTTGCAATATATTTTAAGGACCAGCGCATACCCTCGGGAACCAGTACCTCTCAAAGAACTCAGGGATGCTACAGCAACACACCCACGGTATATTTAATGTTATAAAAGGCAAAATTCAGTGTTAAGTTCTTGAAGTTATCCTAAATTACCACATAAGCCCTTAAACTAAAAAAAGGTGCGTCTCAGCCATTAAACTATGTGAATTTTACATTAATTATCAGTTTTTGATTTTACAATCCAACATCTAAATGTCTTACAATTATAATCTGTACTGTTAACTTGTATAAACAATAACTAATTTTTTATGTAAGATTTAGACTTTTATAAATAGATCCTAAGTCAAAGTATTTTGCAGGTACTTTTTTGCCGTTGATCCTGATGCAAGCCAACTACTTGCAATGCTTTTGAAGCTTATAAATGCAAAGAAGGCAATAGAAATTGGAGTTTTCACTGGATACTCCCTTCTCACAACAGCTCTTGCAATTCCAAATAGTGGCAAGGTTTGTTTTGGTATTAAAATATTATAATAAAGTAATTTTTTATAGATTCTTTAATTTCAATATCTATATATTAAGTGTCTAACATTAAACTTTGTCATTATAGATCATTGCAATAGACGTGAATCGAGAGACATATGAGATAGGTTTGCCCTTCATTCAAAAAGCCGATGTTGAACACAAAATCAAATTCATTCAATCTCCTGCTCTCCTAATTCTCAATGAGCTTTTACAAGATGTAAGTTAATTAAATTATAAAAAAATATTGTAAAGTCTAAATTATACTAAATTACATAACTTAAATTATTAAAAAGAAAATAGTTCCCTAATATTGAGAGTTGTCTCTTGTTATCCAATAATTCCTTTTTCACAATCTAATACAATCCAAATTACAAAAACAAAAGACTCATTGAGTTACATATGTAAATACCTACTAATTATATAGATATTCTTTAATTAAATTGGTTCTTCCATTAATTTGTATGTCAAATCTAACAGAGAATGTTAAAAAAGTTTTTGTTTTTTTCCAAATATTTAAATGCGGTTGTGTTAATTTGAAATGGCAGGAAGAGAATGAAGGGAGTTTCGATTTTGCCTTTGTGGATGCAGACAAGAACAATTACTGGAACTACCATGAGAAACTGATGAAATTAGTGAGGCCTGGCGGACTGCTCATCTATGCTAACACTCTCTGGGGAGGCACCGTTTGCTGGCCAGAGGAGGCTGTTCCTGAAGGCAAAAGAGAACGCAGGAAGGATGTGATGGAGTTTAACAGATTGATTTCTGCTGATCATCACATTGAGCTTGTTCTTGCTTCCATTGTAGACGGGTTGAGCATCTGCAGGTGGATTTTCTGATACTCTTTTCGATTGCTCGCATGTGTTGTAGTTTGGCATCTCTCTACTCTACGTCGATATTAAGTGTGGGATTGTTGTAAGGCTATTGGATTCAAGTTATCATCAGTTGAATACTTCTGTTTCATCAGCATTTTATACTGTAATCCATGTATTATGTCTTTCTGTTTCACTGTTCTGTTTAGTTGGACCTAATTATTAGGATGTGTGGCTTTAATTTAATCAGAATTTCTGTCATTGTGAAAAATAAATGTGGACCTCTTCAATTTAGCAATGGTATGTAATGTTTTGTTTCAATTTTACCTCTATTAAATGTTTTAAATAATTTTTTATCACACAACTAAGGTCGTTAAATTTAAGGTCGAGTTTCCTTTCGTTGTCGTATGAATCATCTCTCTCTAGATGATTTTCTCTTTTTTTCTCTCTTTCTTTTTTTTTTTTTCTTCTCTTTCTTATCTCTTTGTTGATT